ACGTCTCTGTTAAAACAACCTGATTTACTGATAGCTCATCTGCATATTATCAAATGCAACAGAGAAGCTGTTAATCGTCCATACAATTAAGTTGCAACAAATCTATGCTAAAGCAAAAAGCCACTATACGTACAGCATGCAGTGGCTTAGGTGAGTTTTGGTCTAGTAGTTAGAGCAGTGCGCTTGTGCTCTGAGAAGGTTACAAGTACCCGATTCGATCCCCACAGACGGCACTCTGGGTCCCTGAGCAAGACCCTTAACCCCCACAATGCTCCCCAAGGGGATGGGTTAAGTGCAGAGGTAAATTTCTCCAGTGTGAGATTAATAAAGTTCAATTAATATTATAATAAAGTGTTTTTACTTTAAATGATCAACCTTTTTTAAAAGGATTTAAAATCCCAACCCTCTAGACATTTCATTCATGCAGAAGGAACACTGATGTATAAAAATAGCCGACACAAAAAGAAGGCCAGGCCAACATAAAGCTATAAACTAACATCAGAACTAGCAGCAAACTATGTTGTCATTTTCAACAAAGTGTAAAATAATCCCCCTAACTACTCATATTTAGTATCCTACTCATCTGAAATTGGGTTATTCCAGAAAAGACAAGTCTAACAAACAATTAGTTCAAGCTGAATGGCTCTGCGTTCCTAAAACAGGATTATAAACCCCTTCAAAGCTGCCTCAGCACTTTGTGGGGATGTGGCCACACTAATAGGCAGGCAGTGACTGATAAGACCCAGCGATACCCAACCGCCTTGTTCCTGGTGTTGGGAGAATGAGAGGACTAATGGCAAAGGGGTGAAATCAATGCACCTAAAGCCTCTGTGCTCTTACCTATTCTCTCCTAATATTGAATAATAAATTACTGTCTAAATTCATTAAAGCGTTTGAACGGTCTTTCCAAGAAATCAGTTCTTTGATAAGGTCTTATCAATGCACATATACCTCAAAGTCCCATAGGCCACCAGAGGGAACGATGGGTGGATAAGGGAGATCAATGGGTTACCAGTGCGTGTCCACATGAGACTGAACTTTGTTCAAACACGTTTGGAAGTAGACCTCTAATCAGGACACTTTATTTTATTTGCACCATGTTTTCTGAACACAACAAAGCATTTATTTCCACACTTTGGTTTAAGGCAAAGAAAAAACTAGTTGATGATGTTTGAGAGCTTCATTAAACTAGACTGAACATGAAAAACATCTTGAGCAGAAATAAAGAGGACTGTACGAAGCAGCCCACAGTCTCAGCCTGGAATTGACATAATAGAACTCTCAGAGCAGGAAGCTTTACATTAAAATTTAATTAGCGATGTGAATGTGTGCAGAGACGGCACTGGTCAAAAGACTACCTGGGTGCAAAGTTTGGCCTGTCTTTACTTTTTATACCATTTATTTAGGCCTGATGAAGGTACACGGCCACCGATCTGCAAAACTAGTAAAGATTGAAGTGATAAAGGTTTTGAAACTTAAGGAGAGTAGCTGTGTGTCTGTGATGGAAAGGTTCGAAGAGAAAAAGGACAAACAATTTTTAATAATCCCACAATAATCCCCTTCTCCTTTTCCCTTTTATAATCAACTCAATGAAATCAGCCTCGGCTCAGATTGGTTGGCTTGAATATTTAAATATATGCTATATGGTGTCTTAACAGAAAAAAACTTTCAGATTTAAAGTGATTTTTAAAAAAAGGAGAAAAAAAAATCTAATAAGCAGGAGTGTATTCGCAAGTATTTCTAGATAGGAAGATTGAGTACAAGGACTAGTTTGAGGTATGAGACATGTACAATACATCAATACAATGCACCATGCGGCAAAAATCAAAGCACCTCAACCTGTATAAATAAACATAGGAGCACATTCACTGCAATCAAAAGAACATAGCGCTTTAAATAATCTACATAGGGCTAAAACAATTCATCGGCTTAATCGTGATTAGTTGATTATTGAAATAATCGTCAATTAAGTTAGTATTGATTATTCGTTAACTGGAGACTCTAAAACATGCGTTTAGCTGACAGAGAGACCCACTTAGAGCAGTAATTATACTTCGCTAAAAAAAAAAAATTTATATATATATATATATATATATATATATATATATATATATATATATATATATAGCATTTAAGTTAAAAAAATGTTTTCATATGTCAATATGCTCTATTCAGAACTCATCAAGTGGAAAAGTTTGTTTCACCTGGTTTAATTTCATTAAAAAAAAAACTTCGTTAAGGAACCTTCTGCTATCTGATTCTTAGTCGATTTATGGAAAAAAAATAAACAGATTAACAGATTTGCAAAACAATCGTTAATTGCAGCCCTAAATCTATATCTAATGGATCCCCTTTAGGATGTGGTAGACCAGGAAAGCTTTATCATGAATGAGATGTAGACACATCTGCAGCTATGTCATAATCCTGATGCCAAAAAAAAAACAAAAAACAATTGTATTTTGATTAACCTGGGCAATGCGAAAAGTTCAGCTTAGCTCAAAGGGGAAAGAGCTTCAGTCCTCCTCTTGCAAAGAGTACCTAATAAAGTAGCAAGTGTGCATATTTTAACCCTTTAAAGCCTGGACCAAGAAGTAATACAGGAAATTCTATATTGTTTTATTAGAGTTGTGATTGAACTTTCTGACCAAATAAATACATAACATATATTTTCTGTTCTCTATCTTTGTCTGAATGCGTAAGTGAAGGTTTGCAATATCAGAAATATCAAACTGATGATGTCTCAAAAACTAATGTTAAAATATGATACGCTTGGCTTTAAAGGGTTTTAATATGCTATGAAGCCACCAACAATGTAATTGCAATATCATGCAGCAAACCTTCTGCACATTAGCATTGTATGCATGCAGCATGTATTACACTCAAACATGTGCATCACAGGAGTAACTTTGTGATGGACTGGTGTGGACAGTCCCCCCCAAAAATTTCCGCCCCCCCCCCCCCTTTCTGCTAATTTACTTTAGCCAAAG